AGAAAACAGATAACAATATGTCTGATATAGATTCTGTCACTATGGTGCAATGCTAAGTGCACTAAGTATTAGCTCTGCAAAAAAACAGTGCTGGTAAATATTATCAGTTGCAAAATGCAAGCTTAAGGAACGAATGCCTGAACCAAAAAAAAGAAAACAAGCACCTCAACACATTTTAGCACAAGAATGATGCCACAATGACACCAGAGGAACACTACCGATTCAAAGATGTCACTTCTAGGATGCTCAACAAAAGCAGTACAAACAATACTGCTTATACACATAGCTCGTATGAGCCCTCACATACTTGGGCAGGTGTCTAGGAAGTCTGAGTAAATAGCTGGTAGCTGCCAAGCACATAGAGGAATATTACAGTTTGCAGGACCAATAAATGAAACTTATTTGTCACTATGAAATACAGTGGCCAAAAAGTCCTACCTGCCAGTTCAATCAGTACATTATGCTTGAACTCAACCACACCTTTCTGTGAATACTGTTAGTCTGAATTTTGTCCCCAACAGACATTACCTTCAACCCCCAGCAAAAAAATATGCTGTACTGAAACCAGGTCACAATAATGGTGCTGTGTGCCTACTTCGAAGCGGGCCATAGGGTGGACCAATAGTACTTAACGAGCTCTACAAAACGAATACAGTTGACGAGTAGGAGGCACACTCCCGAGGAGAGATGTTTGGAAAACCCAGGTCCATGAATCGCTCTAGTCAAGTGAGTTAGAGCTGGAACACTGCCATCCACTTTCTTCAGTTCATATATTGCTACATATATAACCCCACATTCTAGGAAGTTTTCAACATGCTGGGATATGGTGCTAACAGTTAATTTACGTCATAGCCCTGAAACTTTGTTACACTTGTGAAAATGGAGTTTCCCATAACTGGCAAGGTGACTGCATGTGCATAGGAGAGTTCTTAGCACTATTCAATGTCCTTGTCAATCGCTGTTTTAGAAACTGAACCTCAGCCTTCACAAACAAAGAAAATGTATTTTTCCTTCGTCCCTTTAAGGACATGGCAATGAAAATTATCTTTGTTATTTATGAAGTCAAAGGAATGAAGTTAGGCATGCAGATGTCAATTGTTGAACTGATATTATAACTAAAATCGAGTTTAAACTATCTAATATAACTTTTGAGTTACAACATTTGACCGACTCTGATTGTCATTCCAAAATAATTAGCTAATGAGGCACAAGTTCATCAAAGTTTTTGTATAGGGATATTCACAAGGGTCTATTTTGTGCCGTAATGCTGTTGGTTGATTTTAAATATTCAAGTAAGCACACAAAATGTTTTTTTTAAATGTCCTAGACATGTGTTACCAAAAACTTTTACAATTATAAAGGTCTGTATGATGGACAGCTTTACTACTATGGACAGCTTTACTAGACAGCTTTACTGCACTCACCAATGTCTCACAATCGAAATGCAAAAAATGGAATGGCTATAGCATAATTTTAATGTGAAATGGCGCAGGGATGACTGACAGCAACTTCTAAAAAAGTGAAAGCTGAGAAAATGGAACTAAAGAAAAAAATTGGAGCTAAAAGCTGATAAACGAAACTCTGAAGAAAGCTGGCTTCATTTTTCAATAAAGAAATGCATATTTGTAGGTATCTTAAGCTCCAATCTGTCCTCTTTATGATGATGCCAATATGGCGGCATTGTGCCGAGGAAAGGCGTCAAATTTGCATTTTGACATGCCCAATTTTCACATAGCTTTTGACGACAGCCCACTGGTAAAATGCTTGTTTCTCAACTTCTACTACTTATTTTGATCTAAAATCACACTATGATGTAAAACATGGTGTCAGGATTACAGAAAAAAGTTCATTTAGGAACTGAACATTTTGACCAAACTTACAATTCCCATATCCACATCCCCCTTAAAAGCTAACTCAACAAAATCTCAGAAGGGTTAAACAAGTTATATAAGACTAGCATGTAAATTAAAGTACTAATATATATTTCTACACAGCTCACCGTGCCACAAAACTAATAATGCACTAAAATTCCTCATTTGTTTCAATTTTTCTTCGCGCAGAAGCAGCAGAAGCTTGAGAAAAAAAAAACTGCATTTTGCACGGGTGTTTAGCCGGGCAATGATGGTTTGAAACTAGCCTGAGGATTGGCAAGAATGGTGAATGTGATGGCTCTCATAAACAGCTCCTTGTTGGAGCAGTTCCTACCTCAGCGCTGTTGAAGACATTGAATTTGTCTTCGATAATGAGCCTAATTTTGTCAGTAAACATGAGATGGCTGAAGACGACACTGAGAACAGCTACAATGATGACGCAGTGACGCTATGGTGCCTTCACAGCTCATAGAGTTCAACAAAGTGTTTCATTTAAATAATTCATAAGTTAAGAAATTGAGAACTTCATTCAAAATTTTGCTGCAGTTACATTTCTTGCATAAATAAAATGATGAACCAGTACCTACTGGTAGAACTGGATGCAAAATTCACATAAGATTGCTTGTTAGTAGTGAGAGTAACATGGTCATGGATAGAAGCAAGTTCAGCAAGACTGCCAATTCCTACGTGTCTTCACTGAACAGGACGAAACACCAGCAGTTTTCTACAGACTCAGGTTGGGTAGTACAATCGAACCCCACTACAATGAAACTAACGGGGCGCAGAAAAAATTATGTCGAAGTGAAAATTTAGTTGTAGTGAAATTGAAAAAATATATAGCTTATCTGAGCTAGCAAAAGAAAGGAACGTTTATTGTCAAAATTTTAAAAATGTCCACTGCTTCCTATTCCTTTCCAGCAGCATCACGACGCGATTCTCACCCATGCATAACGAGGCCATGGGGAAAAGCACACTGAAACAATGCCTAAAACCGCTTTTGTGAACGAATCAAACAGTTGAATTAACACGTTAACGCCAGCATTATTACCAGCAAATGCTTGCCGTCAAAAGTATCTGACAACGCCGAGATGGTGGCAGGGTACCGTGGAGCAGCGACTTTCCATTATTCTATGCCATTCTTATCATCCATCACTCGTGGCTAGGTGATTTTGTTTATAATGAGGATAACAGCCACTCTGATTAGTTACCACACTGACCAAGTGCGAACATAATGATAAGCATGGGAATCGGAAAAGGCATCGCACTGCGGTTGCACCCAGCAGCTGCGAGAAGAAAACCATGAACTGAGCAACTGAGCTTTAGCTTGCGATCATCTGCGGCTCAAAAGCAAGCCAGTGGATAAACAAAAGTAGGGCAGTCTCATTGCCATCGCTATCAAGCAATGGTGGCACCCAAGCTTGCTGAACAGCAATGGTTTCTGGTGATGCAAACGCTTGTTAGACGTCGTTGATGCATTTTCAGGCTCTGAAAATGCACAAAGACGTTAAATATTGGGTTTACTGCATAGCAATAACTATCTGAGCCTGGAATTACATCATAAAATTTCGTTGAAACGAGATGATCGAAGAAAAAGTGTTCGTTGTGGCGACAGTATTTAAGCATTGACTCCTGTGGATCGCTAACGGGGAATTGTTAATATTTTGTTGTAGCGGAAATTTCATTGAAGCGGGGTTCATTGTAGCGGAGTTTGACTGTACTATCATTGCAGCCACACTTTCCGGTCAGTGATGATGCATCGTCAAGTTAATATTACACCACAAAGGAACCAACCTTTGGGTGAGTGGATACAGTTGAACCTCTTGAAGGGGTAGCGTATCAAAGGAAGGCACAAGCAAATACAGGAAAACGGTGTCCTGTGCTCCCTTCTGCCTTGTGTCCTTGTTTTTTTGAGCCATCCTTCAAGATCTTCCTACACTGCTCGATCTAAGATACTAATTTGACTTAAATGCTGATTTGGCTCCAAACAAAGAACCCAGGTTATAAATTGATTGTGGAGTATCTTAGAAACTACTTCACCTATCAAAAAAGTGATTACATTTCTGAAATCTGCATATCCAAATATAAAAACTGAAATTTTCATTCAGATATATCCATAAATAAGAAAGTTGCCTATCAGGTGCAGACTGTCCCCTTTAAGCACAAACAAATGAGAAAGATAGTGCTGACTGACAAAGCACTAGGCAGTAACCTTGAGGACCGTACTGCAAGACTTCGATGGTTCTTCACATGTCATGACAACAGGTGCACGGCTGTGTCTGTGTGCTGGTATTCATCAAATTCAATTAGCTTCAAGGCTGCTGCTGCTGCTGCTGCTTTGCAATTGTATTGACAGTGAAGAAAGCCCTGATCAGCTTCATTTATGTCATTCACACTCATCACTACCTTTTTTTTTCCTTGCACGTTATGCAAAAAATTTGTGCACATTTAGTTCTAAACAAGCCACCTCAGCTACGCAATTTTCTCTTTTGCACCTGCTGCTGATATGATTTTTGTGGAGAACGCTATCAAATTTTACACTATTACGATACTGTTATATTCTCACACTTTCTTCACAACGATATTTCTCATTTCTGATGTACACTTCTGTTTCCTCCGTTTTTAAAGCTTGAGCTTTCCTCGTAGTCAAAAACTGCACTTATGTAATTCTTGTTTCGTACACGATTTCAATGCGCACACTATATACTTCTTGTTCTTCTGCTGCTTAAAAGATCATGCACAGAAGAAATGAATAAGCACATCACTTTTCTGGATAAAAGATAGGCTTATCAATAGCATTTATATATTAGTAAGTTTCACAGTATACTGTTGAACTTATTATCAATAGTTCTAGTGATAGTTTCTTTAACCAACAATATTTTGATGGTGACTTAACTATCTATAGTATCAACAGTTCCGCACTGCTGCGTTAAGTATTCATCAGCAAGTGAAAGCTGATACAAACCCCTAAATTATTCCCAGGACACGCATGAATACTGCACCCACAGCCCCCGAAAATCAGTCACATCCTCCTCCCCCTCCCGCAACCACAATCTTGACTGAACACTGGATTTCAGGATCAGAATTTTTTTGAATACTGCTCACATCTATGAAGAAAGGACAACGGACAGATTCAATGTAAAGAAAAATGCTTTAATCATACCTCCACACGTCTCACTTCCACACTAAGTTTTTCTGACAGAGCAATGGTTATTCAAGCATCACGGGGCACAACGGCGATGCTCAGTTTGGGTGACTGTGACCATGTTTAGGACAAGCACAGGGATGACAGGGATGACACGTGGAGGAAAGATGTAGCCCTTTCAATACGTACTAACAAGATGAAGAAACACGTCCTGTGAAAGCAATTAAGACAACAATGCATTTCGCTAATTAAACAGGAGCATTCTCTTCTTTCAGCGATAACTTTATCTGTTTCACACTTGTCATGCATCTTTTTCTTTCATTTCAAGGTGAGAGACAGCTGTCTTAGAGCCAAAAAAAAAATATGAAAAAAAAAACTGGCTGTTGTTCTGATGGAGGCACAAGTGATCACTTCAAATCAATGATGGCTAATGGTGTGAAAATTAAACAGCGTCATCAAACTACACTGTTATGTAGAGATGACGTATTGGTTCATACGCCGAGGCATACTGCTTTGTCTGCAAGACAGTCATTCAATTGCTGTGACCCAAGAATTTACGCCAAGACCTATACTACGAACCGCAGTAACCCAAGATTCAGCACATGTTTTCTAAAATTTCCACTACGAGTGACAACAACGGGCTTGATTAAAAGAATGCAGAGGGACTGCCCCCCATGGACAAGAATAATAATCAAATATCTTCGTTTATTATTTAAGCTGCAAAGCGAGGTTGAGCAACCTCCTCGGCACCCTGTACCTGAGAGAATGCATTCCAAGACATGGCTTTGCATCTACACCAGTTTCTCATTTTTGTAGTGACAAACACAGCACTTTTTTACAAAAACAAACTGAAAAATCCAGGAAAGAACTCAGATTCTCAGAAATAGGATCACAAACACATAAAAGCGGTAGCAACTAAAACAATCTTTTCTTGTACAATCACTGCAGGGGACTGTATACAATATGCTTGAACAGGCAAAGGTTGTATTGTATCAACAAGCTCAATGCAGTATCAATCGTTTTATAAATTAACTGGATGAATGAAAACAACACATGTGATGTGGCATGACGATGTTGATAGACGACGTAGGAAAAAAAAATGAAGTGCCGAATAATGTCTAATTAGGAAGACACACTTCAAGTGTGAAGGTGCAATGACCTGTTAAAGCCACACTCAGTCTTGGGCAAAACATTTCATAACTTCTCAATTGTTAGAGTCTACAATAAGGATCTGCACTGAAAATCGTGGCTCAATTCACAGCGGAGAAGCATACACACTTTCAAATACCTAGCCTTACTGCATAGTGTACGTACGTCCACAGCATGAATCTGGGGGTGTACATGAGCACATGCATGGCTTCCTATATATTTACCTTTCCTTATCCGCGCAACTGGTAAGTGGTAGTGGTAAAAGCGTAATTAAAATTCTCGCTTCCAACAAGTAATCAGCATGTCGGTGCATTCTGCAATGACGATAATCCAATGCAAGATATCCTGCAGAAGCAGCGGCATCTGTCTGAAGTTGCTGTACGTACACAAAACATGCAATCCTCTTCAAATACAATGCTCTATAAGGTGTTCTTACAGAACGTTAAGCACACACAGTATTACAAGACTTGATAGCTACATAATTTCAGCAACAAACTAAGAGAAATGTCGCGAAGGATTTGTGATCTGCTTTTTAAACAACTTTTCGATGAACGTCTATGAAGTAAATATTTAATAAACACAATATAGGTGGAAATTAAGAGAGCTGCCTAAAAATTTGCGTTTGCCACTTTTTTGTTCGCGGATGTCCAGGTAAACATTCCTACTTTATCCATGCTCCTGGCCTCGTTAATTAGATGGACAATTAGCTATAAAGCTAAATTCTTGGTGGTTATAATTGTCAGCAATAATGAAAGTTACAGTTTGCAAAAGACACAATATAGTCAACAACAAAATTTGAATACAAATAACAGCAAGTTTTTTTCCTCCCTAACCTAATAGAAAGCTATAAATTTACTGAATTTAATATGAGCCAGACACAGTTCTTGGGAACACATGCCCTTGATGTCACTGTTTCAGACTTAAGAATGACACCATTTTATTGGTACACCTGTCTACCCCCCAAGCACCATTAATACATATGACTCTCTAATAATAAGCACTAAGATCATAATTATTAGGAGAAATGCGCATTTTGCTTTAAAACTTTCATGTCAATGTCAGTGTATTTCTCTGGGTGCATAAGCTCGGAAAAAATATACTGGTGTTAAGCAATACAGATATTGCTTTCAAACACTATATTAGGTAGGCACTTGTATTCACAGGCAATTTCTAGGCTGAGGCGCAAATATTTTGCCGCTAATTAGATCACTCAAGAATGATTCATTGACAAAAATAATTGAATTATTTGTATTATCAATTTTATGGTGGTTGTTTATATGGCGAAGTGGTTCTAGGTCACAAATTATGGCGAGCCTGGTGTTTAAAAATTGAAAACATCGCGCATGGTTTCAAGGATCTAACTTCGAATTTCCAGACTGCGATGCTAGAAAAACTGAAACACGCACCGAGTGCACAGAAACTAACTGAGTGCGTCATAACTAACGCCCTTCCTGCTTTAGTTTCAGTTTCTTCAGCTTCGCAGTCTGGAAAATCGACGATGGATCTTTGAAACCACATGTGATCTTTTTGTTTTTTAACAACTAAACTAGCCATAAAACTTCGCCATATAAACAACCACCCTAAAATTGATAATAAAAGTTAATTTAATTATTTTTCTCAATAATCATTCCTACGTGGTATAATTAGTGGCAAGATCTTTTCACCTTCGAATAAAATTTCGCTGCAAAAAGGACAAGTGCCTATGTAATGTAGTTTTTCAAGGGAAAATCTGTATTGCTTAAAAAAACACACTGTATACATTTAAATGTCGTATGACAAAGTCGAATCTGGCACAAAAATAGGTTTGCTACATTGAAAAATTCGTTATAAATGTACACTCATAACACTGCATTCAAAGCAAAGTTTTTTAATTACTTTGCTATAACCAATTACTTTTTAATATCCACTTTCTGAATGTTCACTTCTAAACAAAACAGAGAAAGCATATGAAATGCAAGCTGACATAGCTTAGCAATTGGCTCAAACTGGTAGACAGAGCAGCAGTGTTCAAATAAACCTTTGATAGGCTTCTGTTAATTTTTGTTCACAAACTTCATTAAATTTGCAATGTCAGTTTAATTACAAAATTCTTAGGTCAAAGAGTAAAAACATCAAGTCAGTGAATATAGCTTGGGCAATTGTGTCACGTTCACTTCTTCAATTGAATAAAGCAACTTGGGAATTTTCAATGTCAATCTAACTGCATATAAGGATGTTCATTTGACCAGATAGCAAGTTCAACTAAAAGCAGATATTACATCAATCCTTGTTGTTACGACTCATCATATCGAGAAGCTCCAAACATTTTGAATGTGACGACGAAGTGCCTACATGAAAACTGACAGTGTGATGTCATTTACCCTGACGCACACGTGCTACTTTCAAAACATGCTTCTAGTTCTTCATTGATGAAGAGACGAGCTAAGTTTTGCAATGGTTGGTTTCCCTGTCAACCTTTTTAGCACTTGTGAAAAACAAAGAGACGCTTCTCCAAATTTGTTCGCCACATCAATATTTCTCCTGATATTCAGAATATGACACCAGTGTCTCTCTCTAGCACAATATAAATCTAGCACGCCGTTCAGCAAAGTTTTCACATAGTATAAAAAAAGCGTATACAAGAATATCTCATGCAACACTCTGATATTTTCATATCTGATTCTCTTCTGTACAAAACATTCTGAGGGATTGGGGCGCACAACTTTTAAAAAGGCAAGGATCTTTTTTCTCTTATTTACAAGAAGTTCAGGCTGTATGTACAAGCAGTTCTGGCAACCCTTAAATATTACCTTTTATTTTTTTATTTTTCTTTAAAACAGACTAGGCCTAGGAGTGTTGCCGCTCTTCTGCAAAAAAGAACAAAGTTGGCAGCATTTTGTTCGTGGCTCCAAAAATGTAGAAAAAGAAAACCAAATGTACAAAGCTTCGATGAATCAGAAGGAACCACCATACATACTGCGCATTTTCGTCTTCCAAGCTAAGAACACAGTTATGTCAGCATGTAGTTCACGGCCACGTGACCTTACATTATGCGCAGAAAAACCGTTTCACCACAGATTTCTTCTATTTGCTTTACAAACTGCCCAATATTAGCTACGAAGTGCTCGTGGCCTCCAAGTCTGCTGGCTCGGGGTCATTGGTTTGTGGGCTTGAGTAGCTGGCTGCTTCCTGAAGGCGCATCAGCATGTTTAGCTGCAATAATACAAATGAGAGAATTTGTTCCGGGCCAAAAAAGTTTGCTTTTTTAGGTGAACTAAAACTGCCCCTAAAACACCAATTTTCTTCCCAGTGCATGATTTCTACGAACGATTGCATTCATAACAACCCCCAACGTTTCTCGCTCTCAAATCGGCAACTGTTGCATCCGCTACAATTAGAGCTCAATGGTTTACAATTTACCACTCATACCCACCACAATCGCTAACATGATTTACATTTTTCAATTTATTTACTTAGTACTCACTGAATCTTAACAAGCAATGAAGAAAGAGGATGGAGAATAGAAAAAAATGAACACAAAAACTGCAGGTTTACATAAACTTGTGCAAATGAAAGATGTAGAATATTTTATGCCGATACAAACACACGCAGCTACATCACAACTGTCATATGTGTTGGGAAAACAAGCTAAAAAAAAAGAAGAAAGCACCGTGATAATGCTTAATTCATAACAACCTTTAGCAATAAAACCTGTGCTTTACACTATTGCATTCATAACAGCCATATTCTTAACAATTTCATAACTAATCACACCCCCTCTCCCAAAGCACTACAAGATCCGTAGCTGTTGCATAATAACAACAATTTCCGGGACTCACCAGAGGATCTGCGTCGGAATCGGACTGGTCTGGCGCGACCTTGGGGCCAGCGTTCGGGTCGTACCCCACGTCTTCCGGCCGTAGCCGCAGCAGCTGGGGAGCTTCAGACACTGGACCGGGCCATGGATAGGTCTCCAGGACCCACTCGGCTGGGTCTTCCCATGCTGCTCTCCTTCCGTAGAGCTTCAAGTAGAATAGGAGAAACCTTTTAATTAGGACACACCATACATGCAGCCCAGTGCACACAAGAAAAGGAACTTAATAGTGTATAATTCAATTGCAGAGCTTAATATATGTAAACTCATGTAGGAAAAGGGACATGGAACCCAGTATTCTTTAATTGCTCCAATCAATGACATGGTCGCAACTGACATATCAAACCAGTGAGAATCCAATTACTGCCAATACCTAATAGCAGGCTTGTGCGAATATCACCTTTTTTGTACACCGCAAAGCAGATGTTAATTAGTACCAAACAAATGCAAAGCAAAGCCATGTGTTACAGCAACTTACGGCTGTAGAGTTGAATGTATAAGCGGCCAAATACATTGCATTTGCATTCTTTCATTGTTCGGCCCAGATAAGCCCTTCTTACACATGTCCGACTTCGCCCTGGGCAGCAAAACATCTTCTCCACTCACACACCGAAAACGTTCCCCCTCACATTTCTTGCGGACAATTAAGGTACGGCCAAACTCAAGTACAAATCAAGTGAGTCTCCCTTAAGTCAAGGCAGTATTTTAATTCAAGAATAAACATTCAATTTTTTCCCAATATTTAGTTACAAGTGTGCACATACCGTATTTACTCGATTCTACCGCGCCCTCGATTGTAACGCGCACCCGATTTCCAGCGCGAAAAAAAAAAAAAAAAGTACGACATCGATTGCAACGCGCACCCATTTTTCTCGCTGGCCAGCACGATCACACCACTCGAAAAAACGACTCCTTTGGGGAGCGTGTTCCATTTAAATATGAGGTACGGGCGAAGCTTGTGCCCATCTGACGTGTAACAGAGCATTGCCATCACTGTAGTTTTACCATGGACCGATGTCAGCACGCGAACTTGCTTCGCCCCCTTCTTCTCGACGGTTGTGGTGCCAGGCATGTCGAAGTAAAGAGGCGTCTGATCGGCATTCCTGGTTTGCCCAAGCAGGCAGCCGTTGTTGCGCCGCAAGTTTAGAACGAACCTCTGAAAACTGTGAAGTTTTTCATCGTAGTCCACCGCAAAACTTTTCGCATATGCACGTTCCCCTTCGAAAGGAAAAGCCTTTCCTCTTCATAAAGTTAGTTAGCCAGCACCTGCTCGCTTTAAACTGGCTCCGCATTAGACCTTTTTCTAAGATTGCATAGCCCGCACTTGGAGCAGTTCTGTCATCAGGGGCCCCTGTGCCGCTCGCTGCTCAAGCACATACTCGCCGAGCAGCTCTTTAATTTGCGGAAACCGACCCTGCTGTCGGCCACTGAAGCCTTTGCGTGAAGCTTTGCTGTCGACAATCTTCTGCTTTTGTTTCCGCCGGTCCCGCACGCACGTTTCGGGAACTCCGAACGACCGCGATGCGGCCCGATTTCCGTCTGTTTCGGCACATGCGATGACTTTTCTTTTAAAAGCGGCATCGTGGTGCACTCGAGTTTTTGGAGTCGGCCCTTCCACGCCGTCGATGCTAATGCACTACTAGATGACGAACTCCTCAGCACACGTACGAAGTGCCGCACATGGGAAACACATAGGCTGAAATGGCCGACGCGCCATGCCGACGCACGTAGGAGGCGGCCATTTTGGATTTGCCGATGGCAATAGATTGACCGTAATTTTTTTGTTCGTACTCGATTCTAACGCGCATGCGATTTATGAACTCGCCTAACCGGAAAAAAGGTGCGCGTTAGATTCGAGTAATTACGGTATACACTTTCACCATTACTGCTAGCACAGCCCAACAACTTCAATGTAATTATGCCACCATCAAGGAAAAGTAAACTTCTTGCTTATAACAAAGTTCTATAGTTATAGAGTTCATAAATAGGAGTGGATATGCCACCAAACTTACGTTGGCTAAGGTAAAGTAAGAGGATAGGCTGTTTTAATGTTTTCTACTTCCTCATTTTTTTTTTTTTTTTTTTGAAATTAGAAAACAAGCCAAGGGTAGTTTTTTTTTTTCAATGTTCATAACACGAAACCATTGCAATCCTAATATTGATATTTCAGATTGAATATGGATAGGTTCGATGGTAGTGCATTCTTCGTAAAGAAATATAAAATATAGGAAAGATATCAGAGTAAAGGTAGTTTATCACAACCTAAGCACTCACTGTATCATCACAGACAGAACAGGCAATTCAATTAGGCTTCCGTTGAGCACGTTATTTGTCTTTCATTAGTTCATTCATTATTCATCCAATCGATTTCGATAAAAGAATGCCGCTTATTGTACAAAAATATTGCAAATATATATTGTATTCCAGTGCAACGTAAGTCAAGGATGATTACCTGAAGGCCCTCACGGACTGCTTCGAGCAGGTATGGTACAACGCTGTAGTTCCAGAGGTCGGTGAACCACACCTGGGAGCCCGCTACATCCATGGGGCATGCAAGGAACAGCCGTGGCCCTGGAACACAAGAAATTGCATGGTAGCGTGAAATCTAGTGTCAAAGTTGCGACAAAATCAAATTTTGCTATGGGCAAACTCTCGTTAGTGAAACTATTGTACACCGATCTTTCGTGACATCACAAGCGAATTTCAGTCTGACTAATGAAGACAATGGCAGAACTTCTGAAAGTTATTAGAACCAATACTTAAAATGAGGCAAGCTACCAGGCAACATAAAAAAAATACATTTGGTGTTAAGTTGTCATCAAAATAAGTCTGTTTGACACTCCATCAACTCTGCAAACATGCACTAATTGAACACATCGAAATTAAAGTGCTTTGATAAACATGTCGTTGCCAAAACAAGTTCGTTTACAGATTCCACACTGAATTGCTGCATGCTACTGAGGTGCTGTTGAAAACACTGCCTTCAGTGCAGACAATATAAAATCGAACCACAGGACACATAGTAAAGTCGGCAAGTTTCGCACCAACATATACACAGAAAAATTCTTCTCGGCTTCCCAAATATCATTGGTCAATTGTAATAACTATGTTCATAAGTTAGGCTTTTCTTTGAAACACACCTGATTTCCACACACTTAAAAAGTGATGCGAGTGCATCTTTCTTTTGCAAACCTTCTTGATCGCAGAGCATGCTGCTTTAAATCAGTATTTTCAGCGTAGAGCATCAATAGCCTTTTCTGCTAAGAACTTAAGATATCGACGGTGAAACAAATTTTTTTTTTTAAATAAAAGAGAAATTGAATGGTTATAGGGAGTGGCTTAAACAATAAAGTAATACTGTTTGCTTCAATCTGTAGTCAAGACAGCCCTGTGGTCCTTGATTATTATTGCAAGCCTGTGCTTTACAATAACGCCATCAGTATCGTGTGATCACACTGTCAAGAGAATACGATGATGCCCTCATGATATTGCAATCAGAGAGTGAGGAATATACGTTGACCTAATGATGATCTGGGGAAAAATGCACAGTTTAGTCTCTCTTAATCTTTGTAGCATCATCATGAGTTTGAGATGACCTTGCAGAGAATGTTACAATAATCGTAACAAGATTTGTAACTACCGAACAATATTACAAGTTCGCCTATTTGGTAGATGTCTATGCTTAAAAATTAGTTTGAAGTGCACCAAGGTCGAGTACAATGAAAGGGCTCAGGACAGCACCTACGCATGTAAGGGCTTCTTTATTGGACAGAAAAAACCGATAAAGCACATACATGAGAATTGGCACATGCACAACGAACCAGGACGCAAGAAAAAAGCATTCATGTCAGTATCGCCACAAAACTTTTTCACATTGCATATCTTTTAGACGCTATCAAAATCGCTCAGTCTGTTCAAACACATACTCATTATTATAAGGAGCTTGTGAGTGAAAGCACACTCGTACTCACTTACACTTTCCACGTCCTCCGTGTGCTTCCAAACTAATCTTTAAACACTAAACTACACAATTCACATCAGTTGTGTATAGGTGGCTATTTATTAGAAGAGAGAAAAAACAAGTAGCCGTGCAACTCATGCAAATCGGCTGGCTTAGTGTTTGAAGATTAGTTTAGAAGCACATCAAAAATGTGGAAAGTGGGAGTGGGCAGACGAGTTCTTCACATCAGCATCTTTGTGCTCACTTCAGCTGTGATGCAGGCTCCTTCCACTCTCTCATCTCGATGTCACACTGCACCGTTTCGAGCAGGGTGAGCGCCATTGTCCGTGACAAAGAAACGTGCTCACCAATGGTGACATCAGAGGAGCTGTGCGTCTCGAGGAACTGGTTGAGCTGGTGCCAGATGCGGGGCATCCAGTCAATTACCTTGGCGAGGTCTGCCATTCGCAGGCCCGTTCTGACCTCCTCCTCAACCAGGCGCCGCCGGAGGAAGCGCCCTAGGAAGCCCTTCACTGGTTCCATGTGGTTGGCACACAGGACCCACCTGGCACGAAATATTGAGCCGAAAGCCTTAGATGCCTGGTGCTCTCCTCCATTCATCCGTCTATGCCCTAGCTCGGTGGGCTGCACCTTGCATTGATCTCTACAACACTCCAGTTTTGTTCGCGTAGCACTGCTATACCCAGCGTGCCCATAGTCCAAGACGGGAGACGTACACATTGTGTTTGCTTCTGACCGGACCTATCTCTATAGGCGCAGGCATTCGCCGCACACACTTCAAAATTTACGAATTGTCCTTCAGTTTTTCTATTGAATTTGCAGGTTTTGTGTGACAAATAAACCGAGGTATAATTACACTACACAAGTTTTTTGGTGCACGCTGGTATTATTTCCGTAATTCTTTTCTACCAATCTAAATTTCATTTCCTTATAGGGTGCCTGGCTACTTGTCATTCATTATCTACACATATTATGCGAGAGGCAATGATGACCCACCAAACGACCTGTAAGAGCCACCACATCATGCAAGAATATCATTGATCGATGACAAGAAGCATATCGTTCGACAGAACCTTGAGCGATAGCATACTATTTATCGCCACAACAGCACAACAGGAGCTTATAGAAACAAGGCAGGTAAAATTTTGCTTGCTCACTGAGACATTCACTCGAAACACCACAGCAGCAGCCCGTCTGATACGGTAATGGGCAGCGGTGCTGTCGTTGGGATCCGCTCGTGCCAGTCTATCCTATGCCATCCTCCTTTTTGTCTGCTTCGCCTTGATGCTGCTGGCATATACTAGCAATATATATGCGCTGCTTTGTGTCGGCTTGTAGTCTACTTTTGGGGAAATGCGATTAGAAAAAATAAAGTTGCACTAAGCTTTAGCCTAGGTTAATCAAATATTTTCTGTAAATACATGCTTTTATGCTCATTTCAAACATGTATTTAGTTTTATAGGAAGTTGCACAGTTTTTGTTCTATGCCATGACAATGTGTCAAGCATAGTTCATTTTGGAAAAACTTTTTTTACACTAAACCTGTATTGTTCTAGGCCATTAATGGCTTGAACTGCTCTACATTAATGGTAGAATGCAAATAAGTATCAAGGAAGTGTTTAGAGGACAATTTAATTCACAATATTAACGGCAATGGGACAATTCTTGGAATCCTCAGCCCATACTAACTGCTTACTTTAGGTTCGTAATATTTATATTGGGGATATCAAGTTTTAAGAGCAATACTTGCGCCCTTCACATGTTAAGGAGTATGTGTGCAAAACTTCATCTCGATCAAGCTATCAATGTCGAAACTTATGGTGTTGCCCAAAATAAATCTTGCGAAAAATTTATTTTAAAGGTATGAGTGGAAGCTCATCTATGCGGAAAAGATGCATTTTTTAAGATAATTTATGACATCGTAAGAGCTTGACAATCATGGTTATTTTGAGCAAGCGGCCTTGGTCAACTCCTCATGCAAAGTGAAATGACAAGCAGCCAGAAGACAATTTCCAGGGGACTCTAGAACAGTGGTTCTCAAATGGAAGTCCGCGAAGCTATTTATATGATCCGTGAAATCCTCACTTTTCTTTGGGTGTGACAGTGCCATGTATTGATGAACTGTCCAAAATGAAGCGATGTGGCACGTTATTGATGTTTTTGGTAGCAATAAAAGGACCCTGTATCACACTCCAGTTGTATTAATTAACATACGTACGCCCCCCCCCCATCCCTCCCCTTCGCTGCAAGCGGTCCCCAATCACTTTCACCAGTCCACACGTGGACCCCGACACATCCATGGCTGTGAACCACTGCTCTAGACAATAAGATTTTTGTTTTTTAGTAGTCACCGTGCACTTTTCAAAAGCGATTTTAACCTACTTCGAGATTGCAATTTTCATTTTTTTTTATCGTGAAACTAGCGAAGTTAAGCTACTAAAAGCAAATAAAAACAAAAATTATAAGTTTTCGGAAAGAACTTGAGGTTTTTCGACTCGCATTTGCCCTTACAATAGACAGAACTTCGAGACACAATTATGCAATGGTTATATATATTTTTTTAACACAAATCACTTGAAACCTTCTCATCCTTTCCTTTACTTTTTCTTAATTATTTACGAGCTTGATGGTGTTAATTTACATAAATTACCTTTTTAGTGGCATCATGTAGGAACACGTTATAATATTGTGCCGCTGCAATCCGGTTTACATGCGATAGGAAAACTGTATTGTCACAACTCTTTGACTGCTATAGCACATATTAAATAGATCAAGCACGGTGCACACCTGAAGTTGTGGTGTAGCTGCAGGTTCGTTGTCGAGCAGGTGGCCTGGTTCATTGTTCCAATAATGTACGGGCTGCAAACGCAAAGGAAGTGCACGTCTGAGTTCAAGACGTAACCTTCATTTCAAGACACGAACAACTGTGTGCGAAGCATGAGCACAGAGGTACACAAAATATTCGCTTTCTGAACGAAACTGAGTTTGCAGAGAAGCTTTATCCAATGAGTGACATTGAAGTGTACATGGTGCTCTATAGACATTTGGTAATAAAAAGTGAAGTGCTTTGTTGCGTCGAAAATTTCGTTATGTTGAGGTTTGCAATGTCCCTCTTTAATTGTGTAGTGAAAGCAGAAGCAAATGCTTATATACAAGCACCTGGCATTTGAAATATGTGTGCACTACTTACAGAGCATGGTGTAGAAGTTTACACTATAACATCACCACCATAGTTCATACCCACCATGAACTTGTTGCGTAACACCATCAGAGTCTATAAAACTCAGCTGGTGTTCAGCGAAGAAGTTTTCAAATATGAAAATGTGCAGAAACAAAACAACTAAAGAACGCTACTCACATGAAATATTTGAAAAGACACCGCAAATGATATAATAATTGTAATGAGGATGCATGTTAAAATGTGCATTTTTTTCTTAGTTCTCCTTCTGAAGTTCCATAAAGAGCAGATACCAACAATCTAAGCATTCATAAGACAAGTACACAAATTGGCCATACACACACAATGTCTCAATGCTACGTATACACTCATGCTAGCTGTCCTGTCCATAGCCATGTTGGGTAGTCGCGTAGCACATGCGATACCACCGTGTGTGAAAAAGGTAGAGAAAAAACCGCCTCTGCAGAGATTAGATGTGAACGGTGAATGTGAATGCCCCCGTTAGCTCACCACTTTTGGTACTTGGCACTGAGGAAGCCATTGAACACCTCTCCCAAGGAGCCCACATGATGCAGGTTGTCCAGGATGATCACAGCTGGAAGGTCACTGGCATTGCTGCGTTGAAAACGGTGAGCGAGAGCATGAAATACAAACTTGGGTACAGTGGCCATTGAAAAACAAAATAAGGAAGTACAAGCTGGTGCTGAAGCACACTCTGCTAGCACAGAAATAAAATTTTTGTAGTCGATAACCAGTATGGTGAGAGTGCCTGCAAGAAGTGCCCCGTCTTCAAAAATCAGTGATCTTTGTTCGTACATGTTCTAAAACATTATTTTGAACTTGTTATCTCGTGAAAAGACTTCATCAATGTGTAGCAATTTGAAACTTGTCACCACTTGGCCACTAAACGCTAAGAAGTGCTCAATTTTGCCAATCTGATTGAAGAAAAGGTTGACTGATTGAAAATGCTGTTTACCATGCTTTTTTTTTATTAAGTATACTTAAGAATCATATTTTTATAACTATGCAACCAACAATAAGGCAACATTTGGGAGCCACTTTCGCTACTTGTAGATGATGAAGCCTGTCAGTCAATCCCAAAGCTAGTATAACTGTACATTCATCACGAAATAAAAGGAGGGGGGCCTCCCATTCAAGTACTGCATAATTAACAGCACTGAACTAAACCTCAAACACGCACGTGAATGCGTGAAATGATGAAAATAAATGTTTGTGAGCTATTGTAAGGGCACAAAAGTTTACACAAAAGGACTAATGATGTTTATTTCTAGTGCCACGTTAGTGTAGTAATCACAAATGCAAGATGCAGAAACAAAAGCAAAAGTGAAACCTCACCAATTTTCTTGCTTTTGGCAACTATGTAAACATATTGAATATAAACTCTATGCATATGCATAACTAAGCATTGCTGTTGACCTCTCGCTGTATAGTTTAACAGATATGCTTAGGGGAGTTTTGTACTCTTGTCAATAAGGGGACTAGCTCGTACCTTATGTCAGTGCTAGCAAGTTCTTAAAAATAAAAGAGTGCCTAAACCCTAAAGTGGCTCTGTGGGTTTGCAGAAGTGAAAGATAAGATGCCCATACCTGTTCTCACACTGTTCGGCCACATTGGAGAGATACTGCCTCAGCTCCTTCGCAGACTTGTGGTCCACACTGAAGGTGGCGATGGAGCCAGCGGCCAAGTCTCTGCCAGACCTGCGCAGACGATTATGTGTCTCACAAAGAATGCCCCTAAGCGTTCTATGGCTGCATATGATCAAGCCTAACAAAACACAGGCCGTTCCAAACCTGCCCTTTCGTTCACCTCAAACAATTCTGATGGCGTAGAAAAGAATTTAAACAGCACATATGTCAAAAGAGATACTTTTTAACAAGTATTCGTAAAATCAAAACTACTAACATACTTGAATAAGTAATATAGTAGCACAATATCACCATCTTCTTTAGCAGCCTGACTAAGCCCATTGAAGGGCAAAGGCCTCTGCCATGTTCCGACAATCTACCCAGTACTGCGCTTTTTGCTGCCTGTTGCCCCAGCTTCTCAAAACTTCTTAACCTCAACTGCCCACCTAACTCTCTGTCTCCTTCTCACGTCTTTGCCTTCTCTTGTAATTTAGTCAGTTACACTCAATGAGCAGTGGCTATTCTGCCTAAGTTCTCCGTGCCCGACCTCTGTCCATTTCTTTTTTTTTTTATTTCAACTATGACATCATCAGCTCCCTGACCCACTCTACTCCCTTCCTGTCTCTCAAAGATACACCTATCATTTTCTTTTCCGCCGTAGCATAATGTGAGTTTGCGCCTGTTTGTTTTTTGCCTTTCGCTTTCTGTCTGTTGTGTGCACGCTGAAATGTTTCCAAGAATGTCCTCGAACCAACTCACTCAACTTTCTATACTATTACATTAAAACGTGAGATACTTCGAAGTATCTAACATTAACAATGTGGTGTAAGCAGTCTTCAAAACCAACTACAGATGCTCACTTGAGAACGAGGTATTCGGCGAGCTTCTGGGCAAGGAACGTCTTTCCTGTGCCGCTCGGACCACACAAGATGATCCGGCGATGTTCCGTCAGGAGAGAGACATATCGCTGGATCACGGACTTGGGAATGAGCGTCTGGAGAGCAAGGGCATCCACTGCATTCTGTGCAGTCCCTGCACACATGGCCATAAGTCGTAAGTGTTAAACAATGGCAAAAACTTTTATGAGTAGTACTATTATGATTTCAATGCCCTTTTTAGCTCTGTCACCATGCAGACCAAATTATTAGGGATAATCACATATCACCTATTTTACATAGTTATATAGATTTCGATTTCAGTTGAAACGCATGATTTAAGGGGCAGTTTTAAAACATCAAACTGACAGCTTAACGATGCTTCCAGGCCCCGCCACGGTGGTCTAGTGGCTAAGGTACTCGGCTGCTGACCCGCAGGTCGCGGGATCAAATCCCGGCTGTGGCGGCTGCATTTCCGATGGAGGCGGAAATGCTGTAGGCCCGTGTGCTCAGATTTGGGTGCACGTTAAAGAACCCCAGGTGGTCGAAATTTCCGGAGCCCTCCACTACGGCGTCTCTCATAATCATATGGTGGTTTTGGGACGTTAAACCCCACAAATCAATCAATCAATCTACGATGCTTCCAGCCACTGTACTGACAGTTATTAAAAATACATTGACAACCTATTACTACAAAGCGCCTTGAGACAAGCAAACGCCATACACTTATTGTGAACTTGCACGGGTCTGCAATTAAGCTGTCATCGTCGGCTTTGTGCAACAGGCCTCAGGCGTGGCCCACCACTGACTTTGACAGCTGTATTCGTGGAGCTCACCACCACTAATTACTTGACTTAATACACGAAGCTAATTTGTGTTTGTATTTTTCAGTCAAGTATTACTATACCTAAGGGCAGACTTTTGAAAAAATAGCCTTTGCTATAAATAAGACTTTGTCACAACTGATAGTTTGCTAGCTGACCACCAGCAGAATAGACATTATGATTCAGAACTTGGCTGTTATCCTGGTTCACCAGAACATGTACATCACACCTTAGCTTTCTTGAAAAGTGCCTGGCAATAAATTAGTAAAATTATGACACATTTGTTGGCGATTCGTTATAAATTGTGCCCAAGTGGTTGGATACATCACTTACCTCTGAGCACAACTTGGATCTTCAGTGTTTCACCAACAAAATAACCACAAGGCAGCAGCTCTGGAAGCTCAGCTTCTGCACCAAAAAGAAAACAATTTTTGTGAGACCTAATCAAGCTGGGGGTCGAACGTGTCAGAATGCACTCTTACGCCAAAAAAGTACATGAAGAAGTCCAATGGAATAAAAAGTTCCATGAAAGTTTGTGTGTTCAGGCATTGATTGAGATAAAAACATGGTCAATGACCAAGTCTGACGAGGATCTGACATTTCGGAATTGTGTATGGGTTCTTCGTTCACTGAGCTGGACTAGAACTCATCAAATATGAAGCCAGTAGGTGACCCAATGAACGTGCGCACATAGCAGGCATAGTTCCTGATGTCCTGATCGTTGTAGCTGGCGGTGACTGAATGATTAGAGATTCCAGGAATAAGACAACAGGGACTAAGCCTGCTATCTATGCAGGCTCGTTGTGTCACTTACTGACTTTATATGTGACAAATTCTAGTACAGCTAAGTGAAAAAAGGACCCGTACGTTGTTCCTAACTGTCAGCTCATCATCAGACGTGGTCAGTGAGCGTGCTTCATCTGAAGCTCACCAGATTGAGACAGTAGCCACACCCACCTTTGGAACGGACAATGTCATCAATGTGATAACAGAGTATGCTCTCGGAACTCAGGCCCAGGTTCGATGCAGGATCCACCTTCAAGACATAGTCCTGTGCGGTGAGATAAGTTCAAAATGTTAGATCCCACACCTTAACGGAATGAAGACAAGGTCAAGGTGAATGAGCTCATTCTGAGAATCAGCTGATATTGCTCCACACTAGAGCAAATGTTAGACAAGGCAGAATGTTGTGCTAAAGAGTACAAATATGCCATTCAAGGTGAACATCAAAACTATTCTGCAGCAGCGAAGCAGCCACTAGGCCTCCGTATTAACAAGTGACTTGTTTGTGCAGCAGTGGCTAGGCTTAGTGACACTTCATTTGGTTTGTGCAATAAAATCCCATACACTCAATCACAGTACAAGCACTGCAACTGAACGTGATCTCAGTGCAGAAGTCTGCATTGCAAGTACTCGTTCATTGATTGCAGCCGTTGACTTCAGTCATTGATTGAACTGCGTCGACTGGCAAAACTAATGCATCTCTTTTTGTAACTACCATCTTTATACCTCAGACATTGTGAGCTCATTTTTGGGCCGTACATTTATGCTCATCATTTGTATTTGCCATTACGAGTTTCACGGACACTGCCTGTATGATTGCCTGCGTGTTGAGTCTGTTCCCTAAAACTATAGATTTGACAGAATGTGTCAAACTGTGATATTACAAATATGGATATAAAGTGCTTGTTATCATGTCACATGGACTAGGCTACAAACAGATTCACTGTAAACTAGGCATACATAAAGAAATAACTAAACTGCTAATCCACTTGGCCACCTCCTGGGATGGGAGCCCAATATGATTTTAAAGATTAGGAATAATAATTAATACATGTACTATATATATATACACACACAAAATAAGCATGCCAACAATTATTTTGTGGGTCACGAACCTTGAATGCTTTCTTCACTGCACTGTCTAGATTATCCCATTTGGTCTTGCCACTCACGTACAACGAGCCAATTAAGGCCTCTTCTGGTGCCTAGAAATTATAAAAATCCCAACACAGATGAGCTACAATCAAGCATTCAGCACAAAAATCACTCACATTTAGTTCTAAACCTGCAACCCGACATTTTTCTAGAGCTGTAAATTTAAGCTTTCTTCTTTATCTCATCCAGAACAAAACCATTGAGTCCCAACTTCTGTATAATCACAATTTACTTCGATCTTGATAATGAACACATGAACTTCTGCCTTGATTGGCAGTTTAAACACGAGCATCGTCAAAGCTGGCCTAAACTAGTTATGGTTTACAATAGCCCTTGCTTGGACGAAGTTATTATCAGACTTATTACCATCACCCATACGCCTCATATGTGAAAGCGTGTAGGCGCTGCCAACGAATGGAAGATATGAAATTATCCAGCAATATATGCAGCATTAAGGACGCATGCCATAACATTAAACCACTGCAAGGCCTGCTGCCGATCGCTGCTCAATCAAAGAGCAAACGCTTTCCCGCTTCTCTTCACGTGAAATGCACATAGAGATAGGAAGTGGAGGAAGAGTACCCGCCTCTAGGAGGATATGCGTACTTAGACTTAACAGAACATTGTGGCCTGCACTTGTGCGTACCGTATATCTTGGGAGGGAGGTCAGCAGATTTTCCTCAGCTTTGTTCGCATTACACTTTCAGCGTAAAGCTTGTTCTGAAGCCATGAACATAACGAAGGTCCCTGAACTCGCTGCAGCGGCTGCATTTACTTCCAGCGTCTTGTCGAGTTACGCCTGACCCGATGCTCATATGCAGCTGTTAGCCTTACTTTATGTACCATTGAAATTTGCATCTATTGCATAGTGAACGCTTCGCGCTTGCGGAGAAACAAGGATTTTTTTTAAATATTCATCTAAGTAAGAATGACAAGTAAGGGGTTATATCATGAACTCACTGACTGCCTTTATACAAAAATGCTAACACACTTTAATGATGGAGGTCTATAGATGCCAAAGCCATTGTAAAATGAGAAAAAAAAAGCACACCCACCTCAGATTTCGTGAGGCACTTCTCAACGTCTCCATGACACACCAGATGAACGGTGACAGTGACGCGCTTGCCTTCTGGGACAGAACCATTGATGCCATCGTGAAGATCTGAAAGCAATATAATTGGCAACATATAAGCACTACACTACAAGATCACAGTTTGTCGCTTAAGCACGGCACAATGTGCTGGTAAATATAAAGTTCTGAAGTGTTTTCATCAAAACAGATAGCGCATTCGACTAAACATAAGGTCCACAAAAGCCGGGGTCACTACTGTGTATTTTAGTCATAAGACATGAAAGAACGAGGGAGGAAACAGTCGACACTCACCAAGTGTGGAGGAGATTTCGTGGGCACTGAGTCGCTTGTCGAGCATGTCCATGCTGGTCCGATGAGGTAGTGAACTCTGTGATGCACTGAGTGACTGACTGCGGACTAGCCGATGTAACCGGTCGTTGTCCTGTTTGAGGCTGAGCATTTCATTCTGCACAAGGTGATGGTTTATCATGCCAATATTAGTGTGCAAGCATTTGCTTCAAGAGGACATTCAACAGAGACACTGAATCAGTTCACACCGAAAGAATAGTCTTTCAAAACCATATACATTTATTCGTGAGAATCATTTTCATTCATCATAGACCTGATTAAATTATCATTCACACTGTTCTCTACTTATTCAATATTCTCGTCATCTTTCAATGATTTGTATACACTGTTAGTCAACCCCTTGTCCCTGTCGAAAAATAGTATTGAACAAAAATACTTAAAGGGTAACTGCTATGCCAGTTCATCACTCAAGCTCTATTCGGTAGTCTAGACGCTTGAATTTCCCTATCGTTTGAATTTAACTTGATGTTCGGCTCTTGCATACTTGCAAGGTGGAGGCAGGCTTGGAATATTGTTTATAAATTACCCACGCAGGAAGAGCCAGCTGATGTACAGTAATACCGCGTTAACTCAAACTCACATATCTCAAAAAATCGGCTAAGTCGAAATTTTCCGTGGCACCGAACCTTCTCTGTTACATCCCATGTACCATTTTTTTCCCTTGATCTCAAAGTCTTGAGTGGAAGTAGAACGAAAATTCTGCCCCCGGGCCATTACACAAGTTTCGCGCGATGCTGCTACGCCTGAAATCCGTCAAATTTTTACTTTCATTTTTTATTTAGCCGCGCCTGCCACTATATCTATATTTTCCATGAACGTGAAGTCTGAGCTTAACAGCATATCAACTGTGGCACGTCATGTGACGTCATATAACGCTGTGTCACGTCATGTCACTTCCATGCAGCAGGCCTCGCTCTTTGCCCCCCCGCTTAATGTAGTCCCATAGTCGCAGTCATTTTTATCGTTCGTTTGGCAGTGCTCGTTGTTTTTCTAAAGTGTGATTTCCATTCAGTCTAAGCTGCGCGATGCACCCAGTATGGATTTAACACTGAATTTGAGAAGCGGCGACTTAGTGCGAGTGCGGCAAGCATGGCGTCACAAAAGCAGTGCAAGTCGCTAGTGCTAGAAAGGAAAGTTGCCCTGATTAAAGAAGTGGCGAAAGGAGGCCGGTAACGGTGCCGCCGAAAGTGAGGTAACTTTTCTCGAGTACGCGCTATGCGAGCAGGATGTGCCGGTGACCAAAGAAATGATGGACACCAATATCATTCAAACGGCCACTATCGTAGGAGGCGGCACAGACAACGCCAATGACAAATCACCTCAAGAGGTGCTGACATCTGCAGAAACGCGAAATTCGCTCCGTTTGCTTCGAAATACGGTGGAGCGCAGCGGCGGGGAAGATCGTCTGACACGATGCATGAAGGAGCTGGAGGATGCCTTCCTAGGCCCGAGCACGGCTGGAGAGCAGACAAGCATTAGGGAGTTTTTCTCTGTTAAATGAAATAGCAGAGCTACGAAATCCGGCTGTTTGACGTCTTTTGTGTGATATTTTTATTCTCTCTTAAACTTTCACGAGAAGAAACATTAGAAACTGCTGCTGAAGAGCCGGTAAGTAGTAGTGATTTTGCTAAAAAGCACTCGATTTTTCTCAGTGATTTTTGCAACCTTGATTATCTCTAAATTTTTCTTAATTTTTACAACTTCAAGTTAACAAGGTATTACTGTACTAAGACACACTTAGGCTGACTTGACTCAAGGCTTGACTTCCTTCTGTTGCTAAGCCTTCAGATAAGACTTACGCTTCAGTAAGCACACGAACATTGCCGGTTGCGCTGTACTTTTTTATAGTGAGTGCAATGTAGTGATAACTGCAACAACTCAAGAACAGCGGCACCGGCCACTGCACGCACCCTCATCTTGGCCAGCGTCTCCTTGAGGTTGTCCAGTTGGTGAGCCGAAGACAGGGCCTCCAGCCGAATGTCGGTGAGCACCAAGTCCTTCTCTCGCAGCTGCTTCCTTAGCTCACGCACCAGCTCAGGCCCGCCATCTTCCTCATCATGTTCGTTGAGCCTGTGGTACCGTCAAGAGAACCGTTACATCATTTCATATTGCGAATGTTGGATGAATTAAATGCTTGGAAAACGGCAGAGTGTGGTCACGCGTGCCATAGGCGTTTGCCCAGTTCACCACTAAAGGTCCGCTCACCAGGTTTGACAATATTGAGCTTACAGGCGAAATGCATACACTAAGTGTTTACGATCATGTCTGCCAAAATTTGCAACGCCATGCACCACGAAAATGAATAAAATTGGAAATTTAATGCTGCTTGCCCTTCTCCTCTCGGGCGTTCGTGCCCGGAGAATGAGAGGATGACGTACGAAATGAGAGAACAGGACAAGCGGAGCATAATCAACTCAACTGGTCGCAATCAACTTTGTAACGTGGCTGTAATGCAATTGATCATTGTAATACAGTAGAAAGCATTTTGAAGCAATATAGAGCATGGTAAATTAGTTGCACTGAGCAAAATGCAAGAAGACCTAACGAAACAAGAAGACAGGGCAAATGTTACACAATCAACTCACGCATAGCTAGAGTGCGAGAGTTCGCCATTCTCGGTGCCGCACCCAGGGGGTGAATGTGGCAGGCCATTAGCGGTCACCAGGGAGGGTGGACTGCCCAGTCCCAGCAGCGGAGAGTTTGGAGTCGACGAGTCCGAGTGAAGCGCTCGAATGTCTTCGACATCCGACACCGAGCCATGACGGTTCTTCTTGCTCCGGGAGAATGCCTTACTGAAGGAGCTCCGAAGCTGCTTGAGAAATGGAAAAAAACCAGAGGCTTGTCAGTCACTGCACATAATTATATTTGGTGCATGTAGCTGAATCAACTATGTGACCTGTCCTCGAAAACACTAAATACACTTTGACCTTACGAATCGTTTCTGCGGAATCCCATAAGGTAGCAGAAAGCGTCAAGAAAGATAAATTGAAAAACGACCGATTGTTGCACAAATCCACAAGGAGATCCGTACAGATTTTCGACAAAGGGAAGCTTTGGTTGAAAAACAAAATCGTACTGGTCTGGGGGTCGGACCCGAGACCAATGCTTTCCTGGGGCAGTCACTCAACCATCTGTGCTAACCAGGAAGCTATCAATGGTACAGAGAGAGCCATGTAGTGGACAGATCGAAATGGACAAACAAATACCATTTCAAATTGGCTCAGTAGTTTTCCAATATTGCCTATATGCGGTTCAAGTTGATAATTCATGAACCCACAAAAATGCACATAAGAATTTGCATAAAATACCACTGAACCTCTCCCCTTCCTTCTATTTAGTTTTGGAGAGAGCGGGGGGGGGGGGGGGGGAGAGCTACCCTACTGGTCTGCGAACTGACACAGCTAATATTAAACAGGCCACCAGCCAGTGGGTTTGGCCTCAGCAGGAACATAGCATACACAGGTGCATACCTCTACCACAAATTTCAATGTAGAGTAGGGCTACAATAATGTATAAAATTTGCTTGGCAACAATCATCCACTCCGCATTTCCATCGCGCAGAGGGTGTGCCAGGCTAGTAGAAATGAAAATACCAGGCTAGTCGAAACCCAGTGACAGGCTTTAAGACAATGGACATATTTTTGCTCACCCATCCTTTCTTCTTTTTGTGCTTGTTCTTGGAGCACTCCTCGTGCCTGGTGGAGGTGTTGCTGCAGGCGCTCGATGCAGAGTTTACACTGGACATGGAGTCGGCCGATAGCTGGCGCGACATGTGCTGGTCTTGCAGCGCTGCAAAAACATATCCAATGCAGCAAAGTGAGTAAAAAAGACAAGCAAGGGGAAAAGCTCAGTAAGAGTGGACTGAGTGCACCCAGTACTAGCTGAGGGTGTACACATTTGTCCACTGTTAAAGTGAACAACAGAGCATGTAGCAATCACTCAGTGCTCCCGCTGGCCAGTGGCTGCAACGAGTTTCGCACAGACACAGTGTGGGCTACAAGTACTGCTCTTTCGTCGTCCGCAACCACCTGTTGCTGAGCGTAAAATCTTCACGAAGTGGGGTCGAAAGAACACTGCACACAGTGCTTATGCATTTGTGCAAAGTTCATTGTAGCCCCCGGTAGGTGGTGGCACCGAGTAGTTGCCACGCGCTCTGACAGTCCCTTTAACAGTGTACTGCTGTGTAAACGAGCTCTCTAGCAGCAAAATGCCTAAATAACACGAATGCCTGGATGGTGTAAACTGTGTGGGCATGGTTCTTCGTAACACATTTCACTTTAGTACAACAGCAAGAGAATGATAGTAGTACAAGGATTTCTTGAAGTTTATTCATTCTTATATCCAACAAATTTGTGACATTGTAAACTGATGATTATAAACTCATAGTAATGTGATAGGAACAAGTGACGAAGATTGTCTATGAGCACAGAGACATTCTTTCTTGACAGGCTTGGAAACAGTAGATAGCCTGAGAAACTAGAAAAACTGGACAAAGCACTATTTAACAAGTGTCGCGAGACAACCTCAATCCCCATAGGCAAGCATTCGCACAGTGTCCATAATTTTCAGGATAAAACAGTTGTGGTGACACTGTTTTTTTCCAGCCATATACTACTACCACAATACATTACAATGCAATAAAAAGTTCGCTCCGCCCACAGAACAACAGTGGGCATGCCAATCACTTCTGAAAGACAGGCGCAACAGCTAGTTTTCATTGGAACCATATGTACTCTTTGTAGGCTAATGTCAATAGCCTACAAAATTATAGCCAAGTTAGTTCAAGTCAACAATAGTTGAAGCCAAGATCATTGTAACTGCCCAAAATATTACGTTTAGCTGAGCAGCAATGTCAGATACTACATTTAAGTTTTCTACTTGAACCAGCCACATAAACGAGAGTATGTAGAAGAAAGCGATCTGAAACACTGGAGAAACACTGGGCTTGACGTTACGAAAATGAGTAAGTGCCATCCCATGGAGCCCTTATAGAAAATCCCTCTGAAAGTGAGAGCGACAGCCATGCTTGTAGTTGACATGTTTTTTTCTCGGGCTGTAAATGGAATCAAAATGGAAACGGAAGCAAAGGCGACGGCCTCAGTCACATGCAGAGTTAGTTAATAGAGCTGTACTTCTCAACAACCTATGTGCAGTTAGTGAAGCGAGGCTTGGGGTGGGGGGAGAGAGAGGGGGCAGGAAGGGAAGTGGTGTGTCGGGTGACTGCTCACCACCGGCGGCAGCGTCCTTGGGCGTGTTAAAGGTATGGCGGCGAACTAGGTTAGTCGAACCACCACCACCAGGGGGCGCGCCGTTAGCGGGGGTCATACTTCGCTGCACGGCCGCCATCGACTGCAGCGCCATCTTGGTGAGACCGGCCTCAGCGCTCTGCTTCTTCAGCGCCTCGATGGTGCTGCGCAGCTCTGTTAGTTCCGAGTCCTGCGCAAAAAAGGAGTACGACCATACGACACGTTACGTGAAGTACTTTCTTTCAGAAATTCTGAGGCGACAGCACAGATTTATGTAACGAAAACCATAGTTTATAGATCAGTTGATGTGTCAACACGAGAGCTTCTGGCAAGGCCTAAATATAAGTATCATCGCGAAAGACAAGGCCCTAAGAATTTAACGATGTTATTGAGTCATTGGGCACCGAGTCGGTGAAGTAAAGGCACTTTTATTTACTGCACCTAACTAAACATGTGAATGGGCATCTCATTCAATATATGATTTAATGCGAATCACAATATCTAGTTTCTTTTGCAGCGCTCTTTAACGGAAAGAAAATGGGCTTTTGAATTTCACCATGGTCACAAGGGATCTAATCACGTTCCTCACACTCTCACCCCTACACATTAGTACTGTGCTAGGAATGCGAGCCAGCAGGCAGCGCGTGATTGATCCTCAGAGTACCAACACGCCACGAATTTATGAGAACACGCAAAAGAAAAAAAAAAAGCCAAGCTCGCATGGATTTCGTTTGTTCACAGCTAGATGGCACACATTGTCCAGAGGGAAGTGCCGCGGAGGGGCCCACATGTGGCACGAGGCATATGTGCAACAAGTTTTTAGCGGCGTCAGCGGGCTGTGTAACGCTGGTTTATTAAAAACTGCACGAAGGGTTGAAGCTGTTAGATGAATTGTGCAAGAATTTATTTTTAATCGCCAAAAGCAACTAAAGAACTATCGCCCTTTTGAACTAATGTAATGAGAGAAACGTAACAGGCGCGCATGTTCTGAGCTTTGTTGCGCATACCAGTATATGTGGAGGTGCATACCCTTCCATATTTCGCCCGATTGTGGAATTGCTTATAAGTTAAACAAGTATCGTTCACATAAAAACCCCTGTCAATTTCTTCTATTGTACTGCAAAGATGACCCTCATCATCATCAGCCGAGTACGCCCGCTGCAGGGCAAAGGCCTGTCCCATAATCCGCCAATCAACCAGGTCTGTGGTGACACTATGCAATGCATAAAGAACATCTTCAAAATGAACGGTTCACTTTGGAGCATCAATTTGCCAAATCGATACTTTAATACCACAACCGTTAGCGACAAACCTTTACACACCTTTTGCTCAGCAGTAACAGTGAGGTGCTGAAGCCGTGATGTCATGTTGGACAGGGACTGCTCGAAGGCTGCGACCATGTGAGCCTGCGCATAAAAAAAGACAAAACTTGTGATAAGTCACTGTTCCCCAGAGTGTGTCGATCGATAGACACAAAGTCAATCGGTTGCCGATTTAAATACTGTACAGTATTTTAATAGGAGGCTGACTACAGCGAAACTTCGCCATTAAATATAACTGGCAAATGAACTGACTCACATAGGCTATTTCACACACGATACAGTCGTCATTTGTAGCACATCAACATAGAGCATTCTATAAGTCATCACTTTATTGTTGTCTTCTTTCTTGTATTTCATAACATGAGGTATACCTATTCTCGCGATGCAAGAATGTCAAAACTTGTGTGCTTTGTGACTGTTCTGATATGGGAAAGTCGGGTGCCTTCTTTAAATGCACAAAAAAAGAAGAGAAAAAGGTCGGGAAAATTGTCACATTTGTAGAGCTCACTGTTCCCGAATCACGTCCACATTGTGAAAAAAGACAAGCACAACAGAAATAACAGTGACGACAGTTAAATAGCTGAAACGGCTTCATTAACGCTATACAGTAACTTATAGGCTATGATGTGCTGAAAGAATAAACCACGACGCCTATTTTTTTTATTGGCGGAATGGCTAAGACTATACAAGGTCAACCTTTGGCGCCTTTTGTCCGGGTTTCGTCTTGAGCAAAACTAAGATTACGAAAGACGAGGACGAGCTGCGAAAACAAACATTGGGCTCTGACGCACGGCTAAAACTTAAATTATTTCTATTAAAACCCAACAAATAGAAAATGTGAAAGAAAGATAACAGAAATAAATCTGACTAGTATGAGGTAACAAAAAGGTTAAAAAAAACAAGTCGCTAACTAAACAATATGCGAACCATCCGTTCGTGTACGATGCTTGTGCCTAAGATAAGGCTTTACAAAATGTTGACTCATGGCGGCCAGCGCGAAAAAAAAAAAAAAAAGGTGGAACGACGGGAGTGCACGACACAAGCGTTGTTTGAAAAGGGAAGGTTGATTTGAAGAAACGAGGCATATAAAAATAGAAAGGAAGGCAGTAATAATATCTTATCACCTACGACAAAGCATGTGATGACGTAAGCCGCAGATAAACCTCAGCCTCAATCGCTGAGAATGTTGACCGATGCACTCGTAAGCCTCTAGTGACACGTCACGAGCTTCCATTATTCCTCTTGTGCGCTGAGCACTGCAGTTTACGCGCAACACTGCCCGCCGCGGTGGTCTAGTGGCTAAGGTACTCGGCTGCTGACCCGCAGGTCGCGGGTTCGAATCCTGGCTGCGGCGGCTGCATTTCCGATGGAGGCGGAAATGTTGTAGGCCCGTGTGCTCAGATTTGGGTGCACGTTAAAGAACCCCAGGTGGTCAAAATTTCCGGAGCTCTCCACTACGGCGTCTCTCATACTCATATGGTGGTTTTGGGACGTTAAACCCCACGTATCAATCAAATTAATCAATCAGTTTACGCGCAACAATTAAGGAAAAACGACACTCGTAATCGACAGAGCACACGTAAGAGCATATAAGGTGTCACCGTGGCACTCAAGACGCGAAAACGCGCGCGTGTGTGTGCTGTTCGGGCCGAGGACGACTAAAAGACACGCCCGAATCGCTCCAAACACGGACGTTGGAACGATTCGTATACGAATGGGTCACGGTGTGATGGGAGTCCCGCAGAAACAGGAAACCGCCAATGAAAAACACTCTTTGCCGCAAGTGTACGGAACATCAACACACACAGACACACGCTCGCGCACATGCTTACATCGATCTCGAGCACGCGCGAGGCGAATTACAAACAGACATAATGTTGCGCGGGTTGTCGTCGATTCGGTGAACGAGCTAAATGGTACACACATCCAGAAACAACACACACACAGAGGAGCCAAGGGCGCATGGGTCGCGTTCGGCTCTTACGTCTCTGCGATCCACTTTATCGACAAGCGAGACAGATATGGACGTGTCATTGTTTCGTCAACGTAACACACGTGCCGCGCAGGATATACGTTGTCGATGGAGCTGGACGGAGCGACGGAACGTCGGCGGAGCCTTTGGGGCGCCATCGGCGGGATAAAACGAGGACAATCAGGTCCGACGGTGATAATCTGTCTTCATTGGTGCCGTTGGGTCCCGCATATGAGGTAGCACTTAAGGGCATTCACTATACAGTTATTATCAAACATTTGTAAGCACACGTTTTAATGCGCAATCGGAATCATGTGCTCGAGAGAGAGACTTTGAGGGCCGAAGGCCCCAAGCAGCTTGCACATTCCATGCCCTTGGGTTCTTTTTACTCGACTGTGACTAACTGCGTATACGTGTGTGTGATGTCTTTAGTGCTAGCTTTCTATTTTCTATCTCTCTTTCCACCTCCCTCATCTCGTTTCCACGTGTGAGGGTAACAAGTCGGTTATCTCCGACAGGTTAATAACCTCGCTGCCTTTCCATACCTGCCATTTCTTTTCTCTCTGCTTGGGTGCAGCTGGCAAACATAAGAAAGCCAGAAGAATACTAAAGAGAAAAAAAAATTACAGGGTCACTCATGAATTTGCGTCAGACCACTCGAAGGCAAAAGACGTTCTTTCCTTCTTGTTTATTGCCCCGCCGCGGTGGTCTAGTGGCTAAAGTACTCGGCTGCTGACCCGCAGGTCGCGGGATCGAAGCCGGCTGCGGCGGCCGCATTTCCGATGGAGGCGGAAATGTTGTAGGCGCGTGGGCTCAGATTTGGGTGCACGTTAAAGAACACCAGGAGGTCGAAATTTCCGGAGCCCTCCACTATACGGCGTCTCTGATAATGATATGGTGGTTTTGGGACATTGAACCCCATATATCAATCTTGTGGGTTGATCGTATATAGGCAGCACGCAACAAAGCATAAGTGGGTGTTGTTGTGACCGGCGCCAGAGCGGAAGAGGGAGCGGCGCTCCTTTAATCTTCAAACAAGTAACCGAACGACGGGCTGCCTACTGTTAGGACCGGCGCCAGGTCTGACAATGGATCGGCGTTCCTTTTGATGTTCCTTTTTAGTCGCCAAACGGGTTGGCGGCCTGGGTCCGCCATGTATTGTTCCCCCCTGGCCGGAGGGTGCGGCGTCTTGCCGCCACGACACCGTGAGCAGTTCGGGAGACCACAAGTGCCGCTTCTTCTTTGGAAGATGACGGCGGCGGCGGCGGCCGGAAATCGTCCCGCTAATTGAACGAGTCGTCGGCGACCATTTGAAGCTTGTTTACGGCGGCCCTTTCGATGGATGCAGTCATCAACTTCAGACCCCTCGCCCAGCGACACCCCTTGACGAGGAGGAGCCACGTTCGTGCCACATGGCCGTGCAGTGACCACGCTTCAATTTTGAACGTTCACGTGGACCGTGCGTGCTCGTCACCCTCGCGGGTAATGTGTGATCCGTGGTTGGACGGTGCCCTCTGTACGCGGTCCCCGATCTAGGGATCTGGGGAGGACAGACCCTTTATAATGAGCCCCCACGGCTCATTCGTGTGTGCTTTTTTTTCGAGAGCAGAACCGAGCAGAACCATGTAGAACCAAGCACCATGTAGCGCTATTTTAGGAGACATGTAGAGGCCTGCCACGTTTGAGAGCTCACCGTGTAGGGAGTTCGCAATGTACATATTGTAAATAAACCCTCTTCAAGTCTCTCTTCCTCCTGCCTCGACAACTTCATCCCGGACCTCCGGTGTCTGGAAACCCCGGTCGCAACAACTGGTTGGCAGCGGTGGGATACGAGTCTGCGACGGAGAGCGACATGTACCGGAGGCCAGCCGAAAGCCCTGGAACTCGGCGGGATCGAAGCAGCGTACCACCACCGCACGTAATGGGGTGAGTGCCTGGCTTTGTGCTTGAGATATATCGGGTCTTTTAGCCTAAATTCGTTAAAAGATGGATATAACCAACAACTGCCTGGCCACTGTGGTTGTTATCTCAGCACAAGGCAGCACTGGATGATTATCTGAGCAAGTACGCTAAAGCAGGAAAGCTTAGATGATTCAATAGGAACAAGGGGTAATGTTTCAAAATTTCTAAGGGTACGTTGCGGGTTAAATTTTAGGATGTTGTAAAAAGCAGGAGTGAAAAATTAACAAGAAAAAGTAGAGAGGGATGTTGGCCACGTAGTGCTACTTGGGTGCTTAAGCTTGTGGTCTCCGCTGTGAGATTTGCCAGGCTTCAATTTCTCTAGACCCAGAATTGAAGCGCTGGTGGGTTTGTGTTTTGTCACAGCTGAGCCAAAGCAAAGTAGTCGCCATGGATCTTACGAGATTGACGAGAGAGAACCTGCTGAACCTGTGTTGGGATCTGGAGCTAGATTTTAATGATGATATGCCTGCTTCTAAACTCCGCGAAGTGATTCTCGAAAGCAATAGTGACAATGAGGAAATCGAGCACTTCGGGAATATGTACTTATTGGACCAGGAGGAGGAAGTACAAAGGGCGCAAAGAAAGGAAAGATGGCGCCAGGAGGAATTGGAAGCTGAGCGCAGGCATGAAGAACATATAAAAAGGATGCAGGAATTAGATGAAGAGATAGAAAGGCTTAATTGTGAATTGGTGGCATTGCAGCAGAGTGGTCAATCCATAGATGTAGCGCACGAACGGTGCGATGTAGCGGCGGTGCCGTTTAAGACCGAAGCGAAGGCTACAGGTCAGACATCTGTAGATGTAGCGCACGAACGGTGCGATGTAGCGGCGGTGCCGTTTAAGACCGAAGCGAAGGCTACAGGTCAGACATCTGTAGATGAAGTGCACGAACGGTGCGACGTAGCGGCGGTGCCGATTAAGGCCGAAGAGAGGGCTACAGGTCAGAAATTTGCAGATGTACCGCACGAACGGTGCGTTTCAGCAGCGGTGCCGTTTAGGGCCGAAGAGAGTGCTGCGGGTCTGATATCTGTAGATATAGCGGCGGTGCCGTTTGAGGCCAAAGAGAAGGCTAGTGCCTGTAAGGGAATGGAACAGGTTTTAACCCATTCTGAGGGAAAAGAGCTCGCGGTCACAGCAGGGTGTGAGGGTT